AAGCAGCTGTCTGAGATAACATGTGCTCGTTTATGTTCTTACCTGCGGTGTATCGATGGCGAAGTTCAGGCTGCCGCTGTCCGCAGGTGACTCCTCCGGACTCGGGCTGACCGGGTGACCGGGACTCGCAGCACCTGAACCGACCTTAATAGCGTTGGAGTTGGGCACCACAGAACCGGTGGATGCCGCTTTGATGCAGCCCACGAGAATGAGGCATGCGGTAGAGAACATGGCAATGTGCAGCATCGTCAGGTCTGGTATTCCTTGGAGGACGGAGGATGTATTCCCGAGGTGAGCGGAGCTCTTCTGTGGTTCCTCTTGAGCGCAAGACGCTTCATTTATACGCGCGCGGGGTTGTTTGCGCTCCCGCCCCTCGCTGAGAGTAACAAAGGGCTGGATGACATTTCAAAGCGTTGTGTCAAGGGCTGTCTGTCTGTCGGTGTGTTTGTATGCACGTTTTCGTGAGCTGCCATCAAACAGCCACCACAGTAATATTGCTTATTGGATGGGAAAATCAGCGGGAAAAAAAAAAAATAGATATATATAATAAATAAATATTTTACAACATTTACAAAGCATACAAAATTATAAATGTACCTATATATATATATATATATATATATATAGCCAACAAAAATATTAAACTTTAATGCTAAAGCTGCCAAGTTACATAGTTCAACCAAGAAAACCGATAAACATTTTTTACAAACACTGACTGGTTAACATGAATCAATATTTCATTTTTTTTTTGGAACTGGAATATAATAATAATAATAATACAATTGTATTATTTGTATATTTTATTGTAATAGTCATATTGCTTTTTATTGTTGAAGTCTGATTATTTCGTTATTTTTGTTTAAAAAACAAATTAAAATAAAATAATTAAAATCACTTCTGGATGTCAGTCACTGGACATTTAAACATGAATATACATATATTTATTTTTCATAGCTTCACTTTTTTTTCCTCACAGTGATTTTGTATATTCCGTGTTAGAAATGTAATAAAGATTTAGCAGAAGTTGAGTCACAACCGTGATGGGGGCCCTTTGAAATGAAATACTTGATTAAACAAGTGCATAAGATCAAAGTGAATATGCAAATAAGAAGAAGTGAGAAGTTTACCGAATAAATTATCATTCAGTCTGTGCTTTTAAACAAATAGTGAGTGATTAGCAATCTGAGATAAGAATGAGACGCTCTTAGTTGACGTGGTTCATCTATTGATCTGTCTGATTATAACGATTTGAGCAGAGCAGAATAAAATAATTAGGGTATATAATCTCGCTTCTAAAATGTTAATATTATCCACATTCATTGAGAAACCCATGTGTTCATATGTAGCCCATCTTTATTAAAAGATAGCGTACATTTTGTTTGTCTACTGAATAGATGACTAACAGATGTGAGACAGTTAATTTACAGTCGCTATATATTGCAATTTTAAAAGACTGCTCTTAAATTGTAACATTAAATGAATAGTAATTGTATCATATGACATTTCGGTGGACATAAACTGCGCGAATGATTTAACTATTCCAAAGTGTCTCCCTGCCCAATACTCCGGGATAACTCCCAAATCAATGCCTTTGATGTTGTTGACAGGGGTCACTTCTAATAGACGGCCACAGGACAAACGCTCAATACACTTCACTAAACGCGAATTGGCAGGGTTCATCCCCATTCCTTTGTCTATTGGCTTTGTTTTAATTGTACATCCAAAGCCTACAGTGGTGTAAAATGACGCGTGTGTAAAGGAGCCTTTGATGCGCTCAGATCAAACAGGACTGAAGCCCGTGTCTTAATCAGACTTCCACAGCGATGGCATTTTCGCAAACAGTCCATTTGCTCGGCTTTTAGCGGCTTTTTGTAGACATTGTACTCAGCAAATCCATTTAGTGTGATGCCAGGTAATCCTGTTTTAAAATTCCTGATGACAGCTTATTCAGGTCAGGGCTCCTGAGTGACTCTAAGTAGGGCTAGGCTATTATTCACTACAGCAATACAATTCCGTGGTAAAAATAAATAAATAAATAATAATAATAAGAATAAAATACTGCATTTACAGGAGGCGGCAACAGCAAAATGATAAATGACACCGGTGTTCAATATAGTTAGCTTTAATAATAATAATTAACAAAATAGGTAATATGGGTAATTAGCCTAACTATCCCTGTTGAAGGTTGCCAAGCAGTGTCCTGTTTTGCAACTTGTTGCATTGATATTATACGAGGTTACAGGTGTGCCTATATCAGTTTGTTGCAATGGCTTTGAAAAGTGATGGAAGTTCTGTTCTGCGATTCGGTTATTTTGAACATGAACAAAGAACCAGTTCAAAACATCGAGTTAGTAATTATTTTATGATGTGAGGTAATTACCTCATTACTTGGCATCCTGATGTGGCAGGCATGCATGTTCTAGCATGTTCCAATAATGTGTAGGGACATGTTAGTTATTATTTATTATTATTATTATTATTATTATTATTATTATTATTATTATTATTAGCTATGTTTTATTATCAAGGTTAATGTGCCCTAGTTCATTTCGTTGCAGCCTACAGGTTATGAAAACTGTAGTAACATATTATGGTTTGCATTTAGCCCTTTATAGCCTATTATTTACTAAAGTCCATTTAAACTTGACTGAAAAAGTGTAATACCAACTCATGTGCATAAACTGCAATGGTATGTTTCCATTATGTTTTACTAGTAACATTTGTAGCTTTTTACCTTAACTGTTCACACTTTTTTTTTTTATTACTGTCGGATCTTACATGTTCACGACGGTTCTGGGTACTGTATAATTAAACTAAAATTATTATAGACTACATGGTTTTTGTCATCTTCTGATTGGTCAACTTCAGATGGATCGCCAAATCATCTCGTTCAACCGCACATACCCCACGAATTTAAACGACAGCATCCGATTTTTTTTTTTTGACATGTTTGAAAATTATCGGGAGGACGGGAGGTGCTCATAACGTCTCGGATCGGCCCGTAATTCTTCTCACACGGTACTAGCCGCGACCATGCGAGCATCTGCGATTTTCTCCCGAGAGAAAAAAATCTCCTGCGAGCTCATAAGACAGCAAAAATCGCACCGTGTACGCCCGCCTTGAGTCTTTCGGTTGATGACCGCTAACCACTAGAACGAGTGATTCGTGGACGGTGGACGAATCATTCATGTGTGCGTTTCCCAAAAGCAATGGTCGCAAGTTCCATCGTTACCAATAGAGTTCAATTGAACTTGCGATCATTGGGAAACGCACCCCAGACAATTAACTGGGAAAAGCGCCGACTCAAACGATTCGTTGACAAATCGGACATTGCTAGGTTAGCTCAGTTGGAACCCATTTTGTGAAATAATACTAACCCTCGTCTCCACGGAAAAATGGTTTGACATTTAAAAGGATTTCTTAAATCACTATTTTTGTTGTGTAATTTCACATTTTCAAATGATCGCGCGGGATATTAAAATTCCATATTTTATGGTAATGGCGTGTTATACATTCTGCAGATGGAATGCAAAGGTAGGCTACGTGGTTTATTTTTGTAATTTGCTGTCCTCCTTTGGTGTGACAGTGGGCTACCCTTACGAAAAAGAAGTTTATTCAAGTGTGCTATTAGTATACTTCTTTTAAACTAAAAAATAGGAAATTATACTTTGTCTACTTTTTCTGTACTTCTCAGAAATGGGCTTTATGTTCTTCTCAGAAATATACTTAAAACGACATTTAAATATACTTGACTTATACTTGAAAAGGTCTAAATATATTTGAGCTACTGTATACTTGTGCCCCTAGAATAAACTACTAAACTAGTAGTTTACTGAGACTATACTTCAAAGTGTACTAAAATGCTACTACAATTATTTAATTAGAAAACTATCAGTATACCTATGTTCACTTTTAGTATAGTTGCAGTACAAGCTAAAAATATTGATGTAAACTAGTTGTGTACTCAAAGTTTACTACTGTTATACTTAAAAGTATACTTTTATATACTAGAAAGTGGGCCAATTTAGTCCCTTACAAGTATACTATTAGTACACTGATATTTGTATACTTACTACATAAAGTATACTTTAAAATATACTTGAACTTTACTTAAGTATACTTAATAAAATAAACTTGAAGTATACTACTTTTTGGTAAGGGTATCCAAGCAGGGGGTAATGCATGTCCTCTGATGACTCTCCAAAACAAACTTGTTTCTTTGTTGGACTTCATGTTTGAAGCTGGATAAGTAGTTTACTGTAACTAACTGGCCCCAAAATATGTAGTAATAGGTTTAGAAATATAAATAAACAGTAAAAAAAGATCTATTTTTACCTTAAGGAAAATCTCTGATCTTCTCTGGAGTTGTTCTTGGTGATTTATCCCTGTACGACCATATGTTATGTTTTCAGAAGGGTATTGTGATTACGGTGTCTAACATGACTGCTTTTTGAGCAGTTAATGGGAATGTCTTCTCTGTGAGCCATGGTAAATATTTCAATCTTAATATATTAGTAAAGATCACCTATTAGTAGTAGATATGCCATTGACTGATGGCTTTAGCTGTGAACTGGAGATTAAAGATTTTTTCTCTGCCCCCTGGGTTTACATCTTTTGATGTCTATGGGCCACAGTGCTGGCAATGAAAAGCTACCATGCTCATGCATGTTATCTTTTGGGAAGAGGGGAAGGCAGATGTTTACTGAGCATTATCACCAGCTGATATGAGTCAGACCCTTCATATTACTAACACCTCCAGCTACATCTTGTTTGTAGGACATTCTGAACTTCTGAGTATAAAAAAATAATGAATGTAACATTTAATGAAAACAGCAGGTGCAATTTTCAGAAACTAAACCTTAATGGACACATTACTTTGAAAGATACTTTTATTGTAAGAAAATGGCATATAAATATCTGTACCTTTAAAAAAGCCACAACTGATTAAGAAGAATATTTTGAGGTGTCTGACCTAGTCGTGCAGCATCAAAACAAACAGGGTGAATTATGGATGTCATTGTGTTAAGGCACTTTCAATATTGCCAAAAGATATATGGTGAGCACAGAATATCCATCTTGAAAAGTAAAGATAACAGAGAACTAAAATAGCTTACAGGTAAAATGTATTCCCCCCCAAAAAAAGGCAATAGGACTAGTTTTACTCGGACAATAAATCTCTACAAATATCACAAAAATATTACCACTGTGTGTATATATATATATATACATAAACATTTACCCCTGGTCCTACAATAAATAAGATTACATAATTGGTTTTCCAGCACAGCACTTTGTGTTCAAGCTATTATAGACTACAGGCAGTCTTCTCGTCATTGTTTAAATGAGTCGAGTCATGAATATGATTGGTGAAAATGACAGGAGAAAATATTCAGACAGTTATGTCTCGTATCAGTAATAGAGCTGATTATGTAACTTCATAAACACAATTCCGATCTTACCCACATTTTATCAGGGATGCGGCGACTTGACTGCCCTTCCTCTGGGGAAGTACAGTGTGTATTTTAATAAAAAGCCTGCCCTCTAGTGGAGCACAAACTGTATTGAGTCTAATTTATTATTTGATTGGATTCCCATTGTCTTAAAAAAAATTAAAACTTGCAAGTTTCCCATAATACAAACTAAATGTATTCAGAAGCCTTTAAAAGAAAGAAAGAAAGAAAAAAAAAACATTTAAAGGGATAGTCCACAAAAAAAATAGCAAAACCTGTTATCATTTGCTCACCCTCACGTCGTAGAAAAATTATCAATATTCAGTCCAGATCATAGTACTGTCTCTACTTATGATTCTGTTTTTAAGACCCAGACCTAAAACCTGAAACCACTACTTGTGCAATCAGTCAAACATGAAACAGCAGAGAAAAAAAATTAAGGGCTCATTTTTAAGACACCGGCTCCAGCACGAGGTGGTCTGAGCCCATATCTGAGGCCGTGTTGGGAATATCGACTCCAGTCTTTCTGATTAGGACAGTTTTCGTGAGTCGTGGGGTGTGGCGGGGGGCTGAGAAGCCCCCAGTGGCACCGCAGGACAGAAGTGTGGGCGAAGGCAACTTGGTGTCACAGAGCTGGGCTAGACGTCATCCGTTCTCCTCTTCGCTGACGAACCACACGGGACACTCCAGGGCAGGGCATGTTACAAGTTTCAGTTTTAGAAATCAGTGTCCCAGCCAGAATTGTCATCTGGGGGAGGGTCCTCATTGTCCTCAGGAAAGCTATCAAAGTTACTGGTGTCAGTCGGGCTTGCAACCTAATAGGTGCGTGAACGGAGGAAATGGGATGTTAGACTGATAGATATTAAGCGCTAATGTAAATGCTGTAAACACAACTGTAAAGAAATCATAATGTGTGCCTGTACATTTATTCGCTATTCAATGTCTAAAATACCAACCAATATAAATTAGTATTTAATTCATACATATTTCTTTCTAATCAATTAACTATTATTGTATGGACCATTGTGGAAATAGGGTTGCACAATTAATCAAAATAAAACTGAAATTGCAATATGGCCTACTGCAATTATCAAATCGCAAAGGCTGTGATTTAATTTTTGAAAAAGAAGAAATTAAGAGCCATAAATATTATTATTGTAATTTCACAGTTATACTGTACAAAATATATGCTTTTTCTGAAATACTTAAAAATATTTTATTTTAGAGTAAAATATAACAATAGTAATATTTATTATTTTGTATATATATCTTATGATTCTGTTGACAAAAATCACAGTTCTAGTTTTTATTAATGGGGGGTGGGGGGGGGGGGACCCCCCCTAAAATTTTTCCC